AAATGATTGTATAGACTTAATAAAAGATATAATATGTTGTTATGAAGTCTATAACCTAGAAATGCAATATTTTCATGAAATTGCATATTCTATGCAAATATATTCAAAACACTAAATATGATTTCATTAAATATAAGCTTGTTAAAGGGGAAATCATATATAGGCATATAAACATGAAACAAAATAGTATTTTCCAATTCTATTCATTTGTTTCATAGTAAAACTTGAAAACTATCAAACCAAAACATATATGTATATATATAACTATATATATACAAAATCCAAAACGTGTATGTGTGTATATGATTGAGCTTAAGGTACTTAACACACATAATATAAATCCTAAACTACATTACCCAAGCAATCTTGATCTTCAATTTAGCTTGACTTGGTACACGTTGCGGATGAAGCTTGAACTTGATCTTTAACTTTGAATTGCAAGGCTTCAACCCGACATTCCGCCAACCTCCATTTGATATCGTCGTTGAAGTGCTATTCCATCCATCCTCCAACTACGTTGTTTGTCTACAATACATAAGAATGTACAAACACTAGACAAACAACATTAGTAGTAAATTGTTTGTTAAACATCATCAAAACAAGAAGGCCAACACTTATTGCTTCGAGAAGCAAGGTGGAGATAGATAGGCTGAAATCTTAACTTGGTAAATAGTTTGAGATGAAGAATATGGGCATTGCTAAGAAAATATTGGGTATGGATATTAGAAGAGAGCGGGAAAATCGACGGTTGTTTTTAAGTCAGAAGGGCTACATTGAGCGGGTTATCGCAAGGTTTGGGATGTGAAATGCTAAGTCAGTGGTGACTCCATTGGCTCCACACTTTAGGATTTTAGGTAAACAATCTCCTACTATAGAGAAAGAGAAGACACACATGGAGCGTGTACCTTATGCTAGTGTGGTTGGCAGTTTATTGTATGCAATGGTGTGTACACATTCATATATTTCATAGGCGGTCAGTGTCGTCAGTAGGTTCATGACGAATCCGGAAAATGCGCATTGGGAAGTAGTAAAATGGGTCTTGAGGTACATGAATGGTACCGCTGATACAGGCATGTGCTTTGGTGGAGATACATGTCAGATTGATGGGTTTGTGGACTCAGATTATACGGGAGATCTAGATAGACGGGGATCTATTACTGGTTATGTATTCAGGATACATAGGGCTCTAGTTAGTTGGCGATCGATATTGCAGACTACAATGATACTTTCTACTACAGAGGCCGAGTACATGACCATGACGGAGGGAGTAAAGGAAGCATTGTGGTTGTGGGGTCTTCTAGACGTTTTGGGGATTGAGCAGGAGAACGTGAACTTGTGGTGCAACAGTCAGAGTGCGATTCATTTGGTGAAGAATCAAGTTCATCATGCTCGTACCAAGTATATCGATGTCAGGTATCATTTCGTGCAGGATGTCATAAAGGAAGACGATATTTCTCTCATGAAGGTGCATACGAATGAGAATCTCACGGACATGTTAACCAAGATGGTCACATGTAGCAAGTTTAAGCATTGCTTGGACTTGCTTCATATCAGTCTGTGTTGAACTGCCCAAGAGGGTATGACCCTTCGAGGCGATGATGGTGTAAGGTGAAGACATAATTATATGGAGAATAATGTACAGAACTACGATTAGCTTGATCCCGATTAGAGGGTACGTAGGCAGCCATGGTATAATGGTGCAGCTGGTTTTAGCTTGGTTTAATGTGTCAGATCTCTCTGGTGATGTTCGTGGTGTTCGTCCAAAATTTAAGGTTTATCAAATGATGTACGAGGTGGAGAATTATGAACAGCGGGGGGCACACCCACGTGAACAACGAGACACAATTTGTGTCTCACCACCCTCTCACCGGAGACAGCTGCAGGATTTTCCAGAAGCTGGGTTCAGGTTGTTTTTTAGGCATTGTTCTCTTCCTATAAATAGGAGTCTTCTTCTAGGTTTTTTAGATGAGAAGAAAATAAGGGTTTCTTTGGCGGCTGGAAAAGAGAGATCTTAAGGAGAGAGCTTTGAAGAGATTTTACAAGAGAGATGTTAATTTCTTTTTGGGTAAAAATCAAATCTTTTCTTTTGAGACGAGCTTGTGGATTGTACAAGTCGTCGGTGTTCTCCTCATAGTGGAATCTCCCCTTCCCTTTCCCCGTGGACGTAGACAAGTTTGCTGGACCACATAAATCTCGTGTCTTTACTGTTTTCTGGGTGTTAGCTATTGCTTGTAGGTTCCCTCGACAATTCAGTCTTAGAACCGATGAAAGGAAGAGTGTATATCTCATTTTGTTGAGATATTTCACTTCTGTTCTTGTTTTCTTCGCGAAATAGGAACATAGAGATTGTCTTGAGCTTTTGTGAAAAAAAGCCAGGACTTTCTCTCGAGTGATATCGCTTCCGCGACGTGAAAGCGTAACTCTGCCCCCAACACCTACTTAATTTCAAATATCTAATGCATTTTTAATTAACCTAGTATTTCTTATTTATCACATCCATTTGGACAATTTTGCGAGGTATTTCTGCTAGGCTTTGGTATGTTTGCTAGCCTAACTTGTAAAATCTTTAACTCGGTTAACCCACTTCGGCCGTTGATGTTGGCGTTTCAAAGTGACTGACTTCAATTCTCACGTATTGCAATCTTTGAAGAGTTTACACAGAGTTTTTTTCAATTATTATTATTATTATTTTGTTGCGATCGTGGAGCATAAAATTCCGGTGTTTCATTTGAAAGAAACGAAAACAGAATCTGCAAAAGTTAGATACATAAATATTTGTGAGGATTCACATAAAGCCTCACCCCTCAATAAAAGAAGAGGAAGAAAGTCTCTAATATTACAGATGATAATAAGGTTCGTGCCTCATCTCGATAATTACTCACTATCCGGAGAAGAGCGGGGGAAGAAAAAAGAAGCAGAGGCCAGGATCTAATTCGTTAAAGAAAAGATGACCAAATAGAAATGAATATTATTGCCTTAGTTAGGTTTATTATGCCAAAGACGGTAGTAATTACATTATGAGATATCTTTACGAAAAATTCCTTGGGGATCCCAAATCATGGGACCCAAGGGGGACAGGTGAGGTGTCAACCCCTGGGTGCATGATCTACTGTTCATGAACAGTAGATCATGCACCCAGGGGTTGACACCTCACCTGTCCCCCCTTGGGTCCCATGATTTGGGGTCACTGTGGAACAACTCTATCTTTACCGCCTTGAACACTTTGTGCTGTCAGTTGTGGCACACAAACAATGGGACATCTAGGGAAATCTCAAGCCTCGTGTTACGAGAAGCCCTAGGGCCTAGTCCATTCACATAAAAATAGCAACGTCGGCCCCTTAGCCAGCAATTGGCGCCTTCCTCCAAATTAGAACTCATCCACATGGGGAGATGAAAAAAAATGGGACCATGATGGACCCATTTCAAGGGCTCCAGTCTCTAGGCTCTATCTCGGACCACCTACAATTTGATCGGACAATCTCAATCCTCATGAGCGTGCTTCTAATTTTTGTGTCGCCTTTCTATTTTGAGAACAACCTTGCATTAGTTATTTCTCTCGCATAAAACGAGGGAAGAGGAGAAGAAAACACTCTCACAAAGATATTTAGCTACTGCAGATCTATACATTAGCAGTGTGAAAAGGGAGGTTTTGTGTTGAAAGCTCTGTTTTTGTATTGTCTTTTTCAATTAAGAAGTGGTGATAATCGGTATTATTACCATCATTTTCTTTGAAAACCTTGTAAGGGGGTAATATTCGTTCGCATGTCCATAGCATTTTGGCAAGCTAACATACGTGAGACCCCCTAATCCAGTAGTATTAAAGTCATTTTTTCGGCCACCCATTTGGATGTTATTATATCTAGATTTTCAAGCATTTATGGAAATGTAGATCCTTTCGTTGCTAATAGCATTATGATTAATTACATTCTGCTACCCTAAGGTATGACATACCACACCGGTGAATTTGGAGTGCGTGTATTAACATGAGCAACCTTTAAATTACAAGTTGTAGTTCCACAGCCAATTCTAGAGTATACGTGCAGGTTAATGTTGTTTGACTTCAAATTTATGCTGGATGTTGGTTGAAGTTAAGACTAAGATGCTAACAAATGTTACCGACTAAGACTCCACTGGGGTCTAACTATTCACACTCCCAAACAGTAACTTTGAGGGTGTGTGAGGACTAAATTGCCCTTCTTCCAAACCAAACCAGGCCAAGTCCAAAAGGGCATTTTCGGCAATCCAACTCCCAAAGTTACTGTTTGGGAGTGGATATAGCAAACATGACTCCACTGTCAAGACCTAGCCCTAATCCTAGTAGCCGGTTAACTTTGCTATAACCATAACCCAGATCTTAGCTAACCCTCACGTATTAAAGATTTAAAGGACTCATATCGAAAACATTTTTTTTTATCGTTAAAACAAAAATTTTGGGTTTTTTTATATTGTCCCCCAAATATTACATTTTTTGATATTAGTCCCTCAAATCTTGATATTTAAAAGTAGTCCCCAAATCCTTGAAGGGGAATGAGTTCCCTTTCATTCCCTTCCCCTTCATTACCCCCCAAATTTGGGGTGTAACGTTTTGGCACAAATTCCCCTCCTCTAACCTCCTAAATGCAACTCCCAAATAAGGTTAAAATTATATTTCTCTTCCCATCCCCCTCTCTACCCTCCATCCAAACAGGCCATAAGTGTCTCAGAATTAGTCACCTAAATGCTCGTATTTTAGAATTAGACGCATAAATCTTTGAAACACCTGCTAACTAGAAGGAATAATCAGATAGTTACGATAGTTGGGGATTAATTTCAAATATGAAGACAGACTAATTCCAAAACACTTGAAAATTTGGGAAATAATATATTATAAGAAAAAAAAGGACGTTCTTGGTTCACGAGGGATGGATAAAAACATAGCCCATGTTTTACAATTTCCTGAACAATCCGGTCTATTAATATGTTAGCCCATTGAAAGCCCAACCCACTTCCCTTATCCTCCCCTCCCCTCACCGAAACTCGAAAATATCCCAAACTGTCTCCAATGGCTTCCTCCTCTCTGCGCTTCATCCTCCCTCCTCCAACGCCCCTCTCCCGCCAAAAACCCACCACCACCATCCTCAAATGCTCCCAAAACCCAAACCCAAACCCCGAAAACGGATCCGCATCCACATCCGATATCGAAACCCGTAAGAAGCTCTCCCTCCTCAAGGAATCCCGCCAAGGCTCCGCCCTCGAAAAACCCGAACCCCCAAACTTCGAAATAGGCTGGAAACGCACCAAAGAGATAAAGCACGAGAAGCCCAAAGGGTGGCAGATCGCCGATTTCTTGGAAAAGCTGGAATCTTTGATGGGCCGCGAGTACGGATCGAAGGAGCTGCTCGCTAAAGTTGGGTACATTGTGGCGGAGAGAGCAAGGGAGGAGGCGGAGGTTTTGAGGGAGGGAGGCGAGGTTGAGGAGAGGATGCTGACGGAGTTGTATAGGGTTTTGAAGCTGATGGAGATGGATTTTGAGATGGTGAAGGCGGCGGTGAAGGAGGAGACGGTGAAGGAGCGGGTCGAGGTTGCTAAGGCGAGGTGTCGGCAGGCTATACTCGTCGCGTTGTCGTTTTGAGTATGTATTACGCATTGCATGTTTATTTTTCTTTTTTTATCTGTGTGTGTTAAAAGTTGCATTTTTTTTTTAATTTTCCCCTGTTCTTTTATCTCTCTTAATTTTTATCTGTGTGTGTGCTCTAGTTATTGAATTTTGATAAAAGTAATACATAAGACACGGTGGAACGCCGAATGGAATATTCCCATGACAATAAATAAAGACTCAAGCCGTAGTTGGAGGCTTGGAGCCTCGCCTTGATCTGACTATGTCCAAATTTGGGTGCACATATTTGATTTGATTATGTTACAACGAGAGGAAGTTGATGCAAAAGCAAAATAGGCTAAAAGTAGGAAAATTATAGCCGTGTTCATATTGTGGAACGCTCCAATAGGAGGAGTTGGAACTACTTGATTTTGTTGACGCATTTGTTATTTCAACTATTTGTAACCAAATACACAATGAAATTATGATTACTGTTTTAGTGTGGAGTAACGGATGAGCCTACTATCTGTTTAGTTAACAAATTTTTGACAAATCAAACTTTTATTTTGTTGAGACCCTTTCGGGATAAAATTCATGTAAAAATCATTAATTTCTTTCTACTTAGCTTCCTTTAAGAAGAAAGGTTGTCTAATAGCTGAATGGTCAAGCAGAAAGGTCTTTTTCTATAACTGAATGGTTTCATAGAGCAGAACGATCATTGTAAACCTATATCTCTGAAGGCTTCTACAATCTGGTCAGAAATTTTCGGAATTTTATTTGAGAACTAATACTATACTGGAGGAGGAGGAAGCGTATTGTTGCTTTTGAAAGATGAGAGTGTCAAAGATTAATGACAATCTACATTCATGTAAAGATTTTCTCCTCTCAGGAAATAGATTCACATTCCAATGTGCTGCAGGCATTCAAGCTTGGTTAGAATGAGACTATTCTGATTCTGGCAGCAGTTCAGATTGAGAAGGATATTAGCATTAGCAGGAGGAAAATCGTAGAAGGTGCTCATTGAGACCAAGTTTCTGCTTCTTGGTATTCAATAAGCAAGAGGTAAATGAAATTTCTTTTAGGGAAAAAGAGCCTCATTGCATCTTATTGTCAATAAAAGAGCAGAGCTGGTAGGAGTGTTTATGTTGTAATAGCTTGATATCGAGAGGTACACAGGAAAATACAATGTTACACTTTTTCTATCGCAGTGTGTGAGTCAAAATTCTTTAAGTTTGACAGAATTGTAAAGGACTTTTATAAATGACTTGTGCTAGAGTTGTATGAAGATTGAGCTATGGACATCTAGACAAACATACTATTTTGAAGATGTTAGCAACTATTTGCACAGTTTATGTTCCTTCATTTTCCTGGTGGCGACCTGCCTACATCATGATAGACTTTGATGAGATTACAAGTCTCGAAGAAAAAAAAAAGCTTTCTTTCTTTTTTTATGGCAGGGAAGGTGCAGAGCAAAGCTCCCTTAAATTGAATAGGAAAATAATATGTACGCTGCATAGCACCCTAAAATAAGGGCCCAGAGTATAATCTTCATTAATTTTCATAGCACGATAAATATCGACTTATACATCACAAATTTCTTCTACATCAAATACGCATTGAACTCTCGAGAACCCAATATTAACAATTAGACTGGAATAAACAATATATCATGACCTAATATAGCCCAAAGCACAAAAGGTGCACCGCAACAAATCAAACACACAACAACTGCTACCCATTTACACTGAGTATCCACCACCACATAAACTGCAGTCATCAACGCAACAATCATCGCCAAGCTTGCAATCACAAGGAGCCTATGTCCCCAAATCAATTGCTTGAACTTGAACCTCAGCGGATCCTTCCATGCCCAAATGAAGCAAAAGACAACAATAAGAGAGCTGCACATTGCAATAGTATTGGAAATCACAAAGACTTTGAACGCCGCATGCTTTGCTAGCAATGCATATCCGTGCTCTTGGCTGTAGCCTCCGGGCATTGTGAAGGTGGCAGCGAAAGTGACTGTTGCGATTAAGGCGGCCACTAATGTGTAGGTTCCGACACAAGATTTGAAATGTTCGTCTGCGGTGGACATCTTCTTCTTGAATGATTTTCCAGCAGTGGCCATGTCTGATAGTAGATGGTGTTTCTTGCATTTGCGTTCTTCGCTCTTCTTCAGTGACTCCAAAATGTACATCTGGTTGTGTATTTGTGTCAGTTCCAAGTTCAAGGGTTGCCATAAATCGAAGGTTAAGTTTCATAAAACCCCCAATAAGTTTTGTTGTATTTCACTTAACCCCAAAAAAAGTTTGAAAAAAAATCACTTAACCACCAATAAGGTTAGGAAACCTATAGAAAACCCCCAGATAATTTAATTTCTTTCACTTAACCCACATGATGGTGTTACATAAAATAAACATCAATTTAGAGTTTTAAAGGACGAAATCACCAAAAATAATTTGTGGAGATTGGTAGATCAGACCTGGGAGCGAACATGAGCACAGAGAAGGAGAAAGAAGTGAGGGAAAAAAAAAAAGATTTTAGGGCGAAAATATGAAAGATGATACGAAGGATTTTCTTAAAAGTAATGCACTTGTCTTTTAAGAACATATTATTTGCACGTGACAAGTCAAATCTAATGGTTTTTGTTTTGGGGGTTTTTCGATGAAACTTATCTGTGGTCTCGTAAGTGAATCTTTCAAACTTCTGTTGGGGTCAAGTGAAAAACGCCCAAACATATTGGTTTTTGTTATTTAAAAAGTTACCTAATTTAGTTAAGATGGGAGAAATTGAGATGAAACCTCAAAAAGAATTGAGAATTACATTGTATGGGTAGAACACTATTTAAGTATGGTTCTCAAGAAAGGAATTGATGCTGACCCTCTTAGATTCTCCATTCTACCTTTTGCACTAGACCAATTCTTGGTCTATTTCTAAAGAAATCATCGAGACCCTACTGATTCCCAACAATCTATCTTTTGTTAAATAGCCACTTCAACCAAAAGCTCAAGCCACAAAAACTAATGTGATCAGAAGCTCAAGTCATCATAAAATGATCCAGAAAGGCAGTACGGCAACATTCAAAACAATTCATGCCATTTCTGAGACCAACTATATATGAATAATTTTTGACACTACCTTCAATTAAGCATGAAATGCATCAGGTTCAGAGTCTTGTACCTCATACATGTCCATCTCCTCTAACGATTCAACGACTCCTCGTGCGGTTTTCCCATCATTATTCAAAATGCAGGGATCAACTCTATTATCCTTCAACAACAGAAGAGTCGACTGTATCCTAGATTTCTGTGCAGCCAGATGCAGAGGAGTATTCCCATTGTTATCAGCCTGGTTTATAACCTCCGCCAAATTTATATTTTTCAACAAACACTTCAGTGCTCCGACAGTCCTACTCACGACCGCAATATGAAGAGCATTTTTGCCTGTATCGTCTACTTGCTCTGCTGCATCGGGACACTGCCTTAATATCTCTCCGATGGTAGATGTTGAATTATGTTTTGCAGCGACGTGGAGTGAAGATTGACCATCGAAGTTTCTAAGGTAAGCCAACGAAGGCTCTTTTTCTAGTAAGATTTCTGTCATTTTGCCGTTGTCCTTCTTCGCTGCATAGTGAAGGGCATTGTTACCAGATTTGTCGATGAGTTTGATGAGGCCGCTTCTTTTTTCCAGCAGCATCCTCACAATGGCTGTAGGATCAAAGAATCTTCTACGTTAACATGGTTTTGGGTTTCTGGGTTTCTGAGTATTATATCAGCTACATAATTATTAAAACCAAATTCATAAATTGCATATATTAGGAGAGCTAAAAGAGAATGACAACTAACAGACTTAGTATTGATATTTGCAAGTATATATTCATAAAGGAAAGTTAGTATGAACATCAGATTTATTAATGTACTGTATTGTTGTATCAATTATTGTTGGGAATTTAACGCCGAAATCTCTAATGCAACGGAAACGCAGAATAGAGAACAGTACACCAAGTTTTAACGAGGTTCGGTAACTGCCTACGTCCTCGGGAGCCACACAGATAATTTCTTATTAATCAAACAAGAAATTACAATTTAGGAGCAGATCTCAAAACTGAGATTTCTCAAATAAACACTGTAGCTACAGTGTTAATAATCAAAGGGTATGAACCCTTTCAATTCTCACTTGAGAATAAATACCCCACAACTAAAACCCCTCTTTAAATCTCTATTTCTCTCTCTTCTTTAATCCCCTCAAACACTGTTGAAGCTGGGATAAATCATACAAAATCGCAGCAGCGATTTAGGGCAGTTCACCGCCGCCGCCAAAGAGAAGAAATCGGAGAAAGGGGGAAGTTCAGCAGCGAAAAACCCTAGGCTGGGGTTTTCTTTTATAGGCGGAGTTGATGGATGAGCTGGCGACAGCCTGTCGCCAGCGTTCGCTTCGACGCCAGCTTCGCACCAGTGGTCGGCGTTGCACTTCTGGAAACCTTCCTTGTGCATGAAGCCGTCAAACTTCTTGTACCACTGTCTTGGGGCTTGTTTCAGGCCATACAAGCTCTTCTTGAGTCTGCACACCAGGTTCTTTTTCTTCTTTTCTTCTGAGAAACCTTCTGGCTGGTGCATGTATATCTCCTCTTCTAGATCTCCGTGAAGAAACGCCGTCTTCACGTCTAACTGCTCGAGATGAAGATCTTCAATTGCTACAATACTCATCACGGTCCTGATAGTATTTAGCTTCACCACGGGAGCGAAAATATCGGTGTAGTCAATTCCTTCCTTCTGCTGGAAACCTTTGACAACTAGCCGGGCTTTATATCTTCTGGAACCATCCTGCTCCTCTTTCACCCGGTACACCCATTTGTTGTGGAGTGCCTTCTTACCCGTGGGCAACTCAGCTAGTTCCCACGTCTGGTTTGATATGAGAGACTTCATCTCATCTTTCATTGCAAGCTCCCACTTGCTCGCATCTCCACACTGACAAGCTTCATCAAAGCTTTCAGGCTCCCCACCATCTGTCAACAACAGATAGTTCATGTATCTCCTGTTGGGTACAGGAGGACGAGAAGATCTTCTTAATATCGGAGCTGGTGCGTCGGGCTCCTGCGCACCATCTTGTCCAACAGGCTCTTCTTGCTGAGGACCCTCTGCATTGGGTTCTTCCGAGAGGTTACTCGGGACATCATCTGCATCTACAAATATTGACTCGCTCTCTGAGTCATCTGTCTTGTGCATGTCCTTGTACATCACCTTCTCGTTGAATATCACATCTCTGCTCCGGATCACCTTCTTGTTTTCGTTGTCCCAAATGCGGTAGCCGAACTCATCTTCACCATAGCCGATGAAAGTGCATTTCTTTGACTTGGGATCAAGCTTATTCCTGCCTTGATCACTAATATGCACGTAAGCTACACAACCGAAAACTTTTAGATGTGAGAGTTTTACCTCCTTTCCGCACCATACCTCCTCTGGTATTCTGTGCTCCAATGGAACCGATGGACCTCGGTTGATCAAGTAAGCTGCTGTGTTGACCGCTTCTGCCCAGAACTGCTTCGGTAGGCCTGATTGTACTCGAATGCTTCTGGCTCTCTCTGTCAACGTTCGGTTCATTCGCTCAGCTACACCATTTTGCTGAGGCGTGCCGGGCACGGTTCTCTCCATTCTGATCCCGTGCTCGTAGCAGAACTTCTTGAATCCGGTGTCTTCATACTCACCGCCATTGTCGGTCCTGAGCTTCTTTATTCTCAGACCGGTCTCATTCTCGACCATGGCTTTCCATCTTCTGAAAGCCTCAAACACTTCTGACTTATGTTTCAGAAAGTAGACCCATACTTTCCGAGTGTGATCATCGATAAAAGTCACGAAGTAGTGTTTCCCACCAATCGACGCAGTGGTGGTTGGTCCCCAAACATCTGAGTGAACGAGCTCTAGCTTCTGCTTCCTGGGGGTTCTGCCACTTGTCTGAAAGCTGACTCTCTTCTGCTTTCCAAGTATACATTCTTCACACATATCCATCTCCACTGACTGCAGTCCTGGGAGTTTCCCCTTTGTGTGCATGATTTTCATCCCCTTTTCACTCATATGACCGAGTCTCTGGTGCCACAGCTTTGAAGTCTCATTGCTTGCTGCAACTGAGATCGAACAACGTGCACCTGCTGTCATATACAGGGTACCAGTCTTCTTGCCTCGGGCAATCGTCATTGCGCCCTTTGAGATCTTCCAATCATCTCCATGGAAGGTTGTGGTGTATCCTTCGCCAGCCAACTGGCCTACGGATATTAAATTCTTTCTCAGGTCGGGAATATGCCTGACATCCTTCAGCTCCCATACTGACCCGTTCAACTTAATTTTCACCACGCCTTTGCCCACAATAGCACATGGTTGATCATCACCAAGATATACGTATCCAAGATTTTCGGGGTTATACTTTTCGAAGAATTCTTTCTGAGAGGTAGCATGGAACGACGCTCCTGAATCTAACACCCAAGATTCCTCCTTGCTCTCCAAAGAGCATATCAATGCGTCGTCTCCTCCTGAAGTGGAGGTGACATTCACCTCTGCCTTCGCTTCCTTCTCCTTCTGTGCGCTCTTGCACTGATTCTTGTAATGCCCGGTCTTTCCACAATTCCAACACTCGATAGCCTTCGAGCTGTTGCTTGGATTCCTTGATTTGGACCTCCTGTCCTTTGATCTACCTCTGTAGTTTGATTTTCCTCGTCCGTTTCCTCTGGTTGAATTTCTACCTCTTGACTCTGTATGCAATACTGAAGAGGTTGTAGCTTCACCCGTTTCTCTCCGTCGGATCTCCTCACTGAGAACCAAATCACGAACGTCGTCGAACTTCAACTTATTGTTTCCCGACGAGCTACTCACAGCTGTGACTGTAGCGTTCCAACTCTCTGGTAGGGAAGACAACAATATCAACGCCCGAACTTCTTCATCAAACTCAATCTCAACTGAACTGTGTTGAGTTCATTGAGGTGTTGTGCTACTGACGCGCCTTCCGCCATTTTCAGATTGAATAACCGCCGCATCAAATGAACTTTGTTCGCGGCTGATGGCTTCTCATACATGTTTGAGAGTGCTGCCATAAGACCCGCCGTGGTCTTCTCCTTCGCTATGTTGAACGCAACATTGCGAGTCAACGTCAATCTGATAACTCCAAGGGCTTGTCTATCTAGAAGGTTCCACTCATCTGCCTTCATAGAATATGGCTTCTTCCCTGATAGTGGTTGATACAGATTTTTCTGATATAGATAATCCTCTATCTGCATTTCCCAGAATCCGAAATCTGTTCCATCAAATTTCTCAAGTCTCATTTTTGCCTCATCTGTAACCATGGCTCCCACTTGAATCTGACTTGTTCTAGATCGTTTCACGCTCTGATACCAGTTGTTGGGAATTTAACGCCGAAATCTCTAATGCAACGGAAACGCAGAATAGAGAACAGTACACCAAGTTTTAACGAGGTTCGGCAACTGCCTACGTCCTCGGGAGTCACACAGATAATTTCTTATTAATCAAACAAGAAATTACAATTTAGGAGCAGATCTCAAAACTGAGATTTCTCAAATAAACACTGTAGCTACAGTGTTAATAATCAAAGGGTATGAACCCTTTCAATTCTCACTTGAGAATAAATACCCCACAACTAAAACCCCTCTTTAAATCTCTATTTCTCTCTCTTCTTTAATCCCCTCAAACACTGTTGAAGCCACAACTAAAACCCCTCTTTAAATCTCTATTTCTCTCTCTTCTTTAATCCCCTCAAACACTGTTGAAGTTGGGATAAATCACACAAAATCGCAGCAGCGATTTAGGGCAGTTCACCGCCGCTGCCAAAGAGAAGAAATCGGAGAAAGGGGGGGGAAGTTCAGCAGCGAAAAACCCTAGGCTGGGGTTTTCTTTTATAGGCGGAGTTGATGGATGAGCTGGCGACAGCCTGTCGCCAGCGACGACTTCGACGCCAGCTTCGCACGAACGCAGAGTTGCTTCGACGCCATCTTCGCACGAACGCAGAGCTGAAAGGGGGAGGCGAACGCAGAGCTCGAGCTGCCAAAACGCCAAGGTCAGGTCAGCGTTCGCCTGGGGGTTCTCCGTCGACTTCGCCTGCGTCAGGTCGTCGACAACCTCGCCTGGGCTTCGAGCTTCGTCGGAGCTCGTCGGAGCTCCTCCGCCGTCGGAGGTTTGAATCCACCCCCAAAACTAACAATTATTTCTCGTTGGTCCAAATCACTTCTCGAAAAGGAACAGAGATGTGTATCAGCAGGACTATTAGAGGATATAAGCTTATTTCACACACTCATGGTACTACTACGTACTGATAATCGCCATAGAGAAGAGGAAGACACTGACATGGAGCCCGAGTGAAGTTTTATTGCTTGGTTTGACTTTTGACTTAGTTAACGATCTTTTGTCGTTTGAATATGAATATTTGTTCATTCTGTGATACCTGGTTACAAAATCTTACATCTGATTGGGAGATTTCCTTTTTAGGGGTTTTTTAAGAACAATTTTTCAAAACAACCTTATTTTTTTTTAAATCGACCCATTTTTTTTATTTATCAAAACTGACCCGTTTTTTGCCACGTCAGCCTAATCACCCTCCTATACAGTCGGAGTTGCCAATCCCGACTATTTAGGACATAAAATTTTAGGATTTAAGGCTTCTAATTAATTGGGGTTTAACACCCTCCTAAATAGTCGGAGTTGACAACCCCGACTGTTTAGGAGAGTGATTAGGCTGACATGGCAAGAAACGGGTCGGTTTTGGTAAATAAAAAAAAATAGGTCGATTTTAAAAATAAAAAAAAATGAAATGGGGCTGTTTTGAAAATTGTTCGTTTTTTTAATCTAGTCACTTGAAAACGTTTCTGCTTTGTTTGGGAGTTGACTACGGGAAGGAAATGGAAGTTAAGTAATGGAAAGGAAAGCTAGAGAAGGAGAGAAAATAAAAGATAAAATGTCATTTGAGAGTTTAGCAAGATCGAGGAATGAAAGCAAATTTAATTTATCTTGTTTGGGAGTTTTACTAAAGGGAGGGAAGTGAAGTAAATATATGTAAAGTTACACCTTACACATGAAAATATTTTGTCAAACTAATAAATGACAGGGGTAAAATTGTCTCTTTATGTTCTTAAAATTTACAGCGTTCATTTTACATTCTCTACTGCCCAAACTGTGGGAGAGGAAATCTTCCCAAAATTTACATTTCCTTCCATACTTTAACCCCCTCAAAAAATAAAATAAAATTAAAAAAAATAAAGGTTTTGTAAATGTTAACTTCCCCTACCCTTCTCTAAGACTCTAACCCCCATCCAAACACACCATTCACGTTTTCAAATCAGTCCCTTACATCATTGAAATTACTATTATGTCCCCAAGTGCTTATAAGTTGTTGCAAGTTTATCCCTCCAATTGCTAATTCAACCGCTGGATTGGAGGGATTAATTTGAAACAATTATGTGAATTGAGGGGATCTAAGAGCAATTTCAATAAGACTTGAAGGATTATAATTTAGAAATAATTTAAGAATTGAGGAACCTCATAGCATAACTAATCTCAAAATAGTAATGGCCTAGGGGGCTAATATAAAAAAAGCTCAAGATATTTTCGTAAAGGGTGACACTAGAGGCACACCCCCAACCACATCTCCAACCACACCCCCTCTCATTTGCTACAGTGCACCGGGTCCCACGTGGGATTTTAAAATTTTAAAATCTCATGTGGGGCCCGGTGTACTGTAGCAAATGAGAGGGGGGGTGTGGTTGGAGATGTGGTTGAGGGTGTGCCTCTATCATTTTTCTTTCGTAAACTCTTCGGAATTGACTCACCACAATGACCACCAATAACAGCTTGATGCAGCGGCGATCCGGTCCCTTCCAGTGGCGGCTCCTCCTCCTCTTGCGTTTCAGCCCACGGATGATTCAATATCTCCTCAACAACCTTCTCCAGCCCCTCCCTTGCTGCAATATGCAACGGTGTCTCTCTCTTTTTATTCATCATATGCCCAACACTCGGGTCAGCACTCAACAGCTTCATTGAAATCTCAACATAACCATTCGTCACTGCCTCATGCAACGGCGTGTTATTCCACTTGTTAGTCATCCTCAAAGGCCCTGGCTCCCCATGCTCGACGTCAGTAGGCCAATTCTGAGCGTAGTCAATTAGCAATGCGGCGATTTCCAAGTTGCCGGTTCTTGATGCAACGTGCAAGGGAGTGTCCTCGTCGATGTTTTTCATTATGAGCAGTGTTTCGCCATGATCTAGGATTTTCTCAGCGATGAGTTTGTGACCGAGCCTTGCAGCGATGTGGAGTGCTGTGTTGTCTTGAGGAGTTACTGAGTTTAGGACTGTTGGGTCTTCTTGGATGAGCTGCTGTAAGATGTGAATGTTGCCTTGTGTTGCTGCTTTGTATAATGTGGGATCCATGATATGTTTGATTTGATTTCAAAGATCAAAGAGCAGAAGAATGAAGTACCTGTACGCGAGATTTTTCTTGTATTATGGATTTTAATTTCACTACTCAAATCTATAATATTCTTTAACAAGAG